AGCACTCTAGCCCAGGTGACAGAGTGAGACTCTGTCTCAATAGTGTAAAAAAAAAAAAACTTAAGTCAAATTAAATCAAGCAGAGTTTATTTGAGCAAAGAATGATTCATGATTGGGCAACACCCTGAACCAGTGGAGGTTCAGAGAGCTCCACCTAGCAGAGCGGTGAGCTTTTATAAGGCCAACCACACAAAGAACACTATAAACAAATCACGAAACCCACAAAATGAGAGAAAATATTTAAAAACCATATATCTGATAAGGGACACATAGCTAGAATACACAAAGAACTCTTACAACTCAACAGTAGGAAAGCAAGTAAAATATGTATACCACACCAAAAAAAAGGCATACAGATGTCAAATAAACATATGAAAAAGTGCACAAGAACATATGTAATTAGGGAGATACAAATTACAACAACAGCAAGACCCCACTACAAACCTACTAGATTGGCTAAATTAAAGACTAAACATGCTAAGGACTGGCGTTAATGTGGAGTAACTGGAATTCTCACACACTGAGAATGGGAATGTAAAATGCTAATGGCATGCTGGAATACAGCTTGGCGGATTCTTTAAAAGTTAAACATATACCTACCCTATAAATCAACTACTCCACTTCACTCCAAGGTATTTACCTAAGAGAAATAAAAGCATATTTCATACAAATCTTGTATACAACTGTTAATAACAGCTTTACTTATAATAGCCATGAACTAGAAATACCTCATAAGTCCATCAACATTAGAATACTACTTAGCATTAAAAAGGAAAACACTATTGATACAAATAACAACAGAGATAAATCATAAATTTATGCTCAGTGAAAGATGACAGACAAAAAAACGCAATACTGTATTTTTGTACTTACATAAAACATAAAACTCTATTAAAAACAAACTAATCTATAATGATAGACTAACTCTAGAGTGGTTGCCTGGGAAATGGAGGGTGCAGAAAGAGGAGAGCACAGGGATTACAAACATACACAAGGACACTTTTGGAAGTGAAGATGTGTTCATTTTTTTGATTATGGCAATGTTTCCACAGGAGTGTCACAATTTATCAAATTATGCACTTTAATTACATGCAGTTTATCGTATGTAGATTTTCCTTCAAAAAGCGCTTAAGAAAAATAAGAAAATGAACTAATTTAACCTATAGATGTTTTTGTCCTCCAATCCCCAAGGATACTAGAGCCAAAGTAGCTTTTATTATTATAGTTGTTCTGCTTTTGCCAAATAAAATTACTCCAAAGATTCATTAGACACTTTTGAGGGTAAATCACAAAGGACATTTTGTTTATTCCTTTATTTGCAGGAAGAGAAAACTAAAAAGAAAAATTCAAAGGTTGGTATTTTTCAAACCTCTGTCCCTATCCTGAAATATTGAAATACCAACTCTTTCAAAAGAGGAGAGAGTTTCCAGCATTACATTGCCTTTTGTATATATATACCTGTATGTATATATGTATGCATACATATATATGTATATGTTAAAATATACAAGAAAATATTTCTTAAGCCTATAATTGTAACATGTACATCACAAGAAAGTTCAATTAGTTGGAAACAGCAATCTCAGAGAGATCTCTACATGTTTAGAGAGACTGTAATGTGGACAAGGATGCATGAGCACGAATGAAGAAAACTTCACATGAAAATCTTCATTACACCTACCATTTTCAACTAAATGGCTTTAATAACTATTACTTTTAAACAACTTAAGGAAGTTATGATTGACAAAAAAGTAAGTATAATAAGTTTTGAAACTAGTAATATTTCCCTCTGTAAAATGTTGGCCACATTTTTCTCTAAGGGAAAAAAAGATTTCGCCTACCTGTATTAAAATTACGAGTTACAATTTATATATTTTGTGATGCCTTCAAAATATATATGAGATGTCTTAATAGTAAATCCATGGGTATGTAATGGAATCCTAATATAAGAAATATCCAGATATTCAGAAGTGACATCAACTGTACCATAGACCTCACTAGAAAATAAAAGCACCCACTGTATGTGTATGTGTATATGTTTGTGTGTGCATTTGTCCCTTCATTATTTCCAAAGACTAGCTGAAGTAATATCACTCATTAGAGATCCTGTCTCCTTTGAAATATTTCTTAAAAGATAAAAGAAACAAAAATCAGAAGCCAGTAGGTTACAAATCTGTGCCAATTAGTTTGTTAAATTCTGTCTTATAATACTGTGTCATCTATTATATGAAAAAAATTTGTTTTTGAGCATTGACTAATGCCCATAGCATGCTCAGCTGAGTAAGATTACACAGTGATGCACATATAGCTTGAAATAAGGAGAAAGGATGGCACAGAAACACGTAGACTGCAGCAATTATTCTTTGCTATTTCTCAACTTAATCTAAAATATATGTAGCACATATCCCTCAATTCCCTGGGAAGGTTCTAGTTTTCAGGCAAACCATGAGCCTACGTTAGCACTTCTTTCTTGTATTGGGGACTGCCACTCTGTGGGTTTAACGGTATGAGTTGGGCAAATAGTCACATGTGTCTCTTCTATCTCAGTATGAATAAGATACAGTAAAATAAACAATGAAAAGAAACTGTTCATGAACAAATAGATTGTGGTTTCGAAGGGAATTTTTATTTCATTCATTGGTGTAGGATTACAAGCATTGAGACATTGACTGAAAAGTGAAAACATTCAAGTCCCTAACAATAGTAATTTAGTTTTAATGCCTAAAAAAATTACCATGGTGCAGCTTTTAGCATAAACTTGGCATCAAAAAGTCCATTATCTCTGGATTTTACATTGCATTAATAGATAGAGTGAGGATAGAAACACCATATCAATGAAAATATTTACTTATTTGAAAAACCAGGGAAGAAAGAGAAGGCAGTTGTAACTTTTTTGTCAGAATTGTAAAAGTCACTTTTCAATGTGATGTAATTAATAAACATGAAGCTCTTCTTTAAAAGAAAAAAAAAGCAAAAAAACCCACAAAATTTTCTAGTAATAGAGTCAGAAATGTGGAAAATTTAATATGCAAATTTAGTATCAGAGCAGTATAAATTAAGTCCATATACATATGAAGAAAGACATGATCCCAACAAACAAATTCTCTACCTAAGTACTAACATAGCAGCAAACATTGCTATAATGGAAGCACAGGAGTGGGTATGTGGGTTAGACAGTCATCAGAATTGCAGAACACTTCCTAGAGGAAGTGCTGCCTAAACTGAAAATCACCAATGAACAGTTTTTACCCAGATTAAGTTGGGTAACATGGGACAAAGGATATAAAGAAGTGCTTACTACAATACCTGGCACAGAATACATGGTTAACAAATGGAGCCTGTTAGCACACAGGAAAAGAAAGTGGGCATAGAACCTGGGGAAGACTATGACTTGACTTCTGTTTGGAGCACATTGAAATGGACATGTACATGAGTTGTGCAAGTAGATATGTTTGGTAGTAGGTTCAATGTATAAATCGATATTTGTAGTAGTCAATTTAATATGTAAGTCAAAAAATAATCCATTATTAGAAATAAATTTAGTAATCATTAAGAGAAAGATGGTATATAACGCTGTAGGAATTGTGGATAAAACAGGGAAAGAGAGAGTATACAGTCAGAAGTGAAGAGGAACTAACAGATCCAAGGAATAAAAACAGGCAAAAAGATAAGATTTTATAATTATGCATGTAATTTTTTAACTTTACTTTATCAAATCTCTTCATAAACATCACAAGTACAAGTAAATTGTGCTTAAAACACAGTGTACTGCACAACAGAAAACAATACGTAAACTGCATATTGATAGAGAAATGTGGAAGAATGACAAGGAAAGGAGAGAAGCTATCATGTGGTCTTGTGTGTTTATGGGAGAAAATACACTGATAAAAAAAAAAACAAAAAGAAAAAAAACTTATTGTAAAGCTGGAGCAGAGTCTCCAAGTTCTAAACAGGACTTTAGAGTGAGTCCAAGCTCTGTACTATGTATTAATATTCTGGCAATCAGCAGATTGTTAACCAAAAGCATAACTTTAATGGTGTGTCTTTTTTTTAATTTTGTTTTGTTTTGTTTTACTTAGCTTTGAGTAGGGAAGAATTTTGGGAATCCAAATGACATTTTTGCTACCTATGAAATCACACCAAATTAGCAGATGAATCTACCCATATCCGTAGTATGACTTACAATATAATATAAAGTGAAGATAAAGGTGATTAAGTTAGATTTTATACAGATAAAATGACCCATATGATAATCTCCCTGAATTATTGAACGTGCAGATTGGACAGAAGTCATCAGTAATGAAAAACTATACTATAACAACATTCGTACTGCTGGGACTGACAGATGAACCTCAGCTGCAAGTTCTGATTTTTATCATTCTATTTCTCACCTACATGTTCAGTGTAATGGGGAACCTTACCATCATCACACTCACCTTTGTGGATTCCCATCTTAAAACACCAATGTACTTTTTCTTAAAAAATTTCTCCTTCTTAGAAATCTCATTCACATCTGCTTGTATTCCTAGATACTTGTATAGCATAGCAACAGGTGACAAGGTCATTACCTATAATGACTGTGTCATCCAAGTGTTTTTTACTGACCTCTGTGGAGTAACAGAATTTTTTCTCCTGGCCGCTATGTCCTATGATCGCTATGTGGCCATCTGCAAGCCCCTGCATTACGTGACCATCATGAACAGCAGAGTTTGCCTGAGGCTTGTTTTTTGCTCTTGGTTGTCTGGATTGTTGGTCATAACCTCCCCACTTAGTCTGGGACTAAATCTGGAATTCTGTGACTCAAATGTCATTGATCATTTTCTCTGTGATGCTTCTCCTCTCATGAAGATATCATGTTCAGACACATGGTTCATGGAACAGACAGTTATCATCTGTGCTGTGCTGACCCTGAACATGACTCTAACTTGTGTAGTTCTGTCATATGCTTACACCATCAAGACAATTTTTAGATTCCCTACTGTCCATCAAAGGAAAAAGGCCTTTTCCACCTGTTCTTCCCACATGATTGTGGTTTCCATCACCTATGGCACATGCATGTTCATCTATATGAATCCTACAGCAAAGGAAGAAGTGACTGTTAATAAAGTAGTTTCACTACTTATTTTTTCTATTTCCCCTATGTTAAACCCATTTATTTATACCCTGAGAAACAATCAAGTAAAGAAAGCCTTCAATGACTCAATCAAAAAAATTGCATCATTCTTAAATAAGTAAAATAAAATAGGAGTGAATAAATAAAGTTAAAATAAAAGGTAAGTGGCTGCTAAAACTTTCTATTGAAGTTTATTATTTTCTTTGTCTTTTAATAATCCATATTTAAGCTTGTTTCTTTCTTGACTCCACTTTAGATTTATTTTTATTACACCTCGGTCAACTGATTTCTTTGGCTTTTAGTAAAGTTCTTGGAGGGAATTAGTCTCAGTAAAGAACATGAAAATATACTTCTCATAAATTCATTCATACTTCTCATAAATCCCACATAATTATTTTATGGTATAATACAAACAATTTTTTAGTCTTCCATAAAAATGACAGCATAATACTGCTTAATATTGTATTCAAATGTGTACAAAATGATACACAAAATCAATAAAGAATTGGAATTTTGTATTAAAATACTAAACAGGATGAATAAGAGCATGATGTAATAATTTAAGGAACAATTGAGAAAGAAGATAATACCATTGCTCATACTCAAGGAAAATACATTACAAACAAAAGAAAATGTTGGATAAAATTTCACAAATATTCTTTTGACTGTATAGCTGAAAGTAAAGGTTAAAATGTGGGAAATTTCACAGGGTATCAAACACCTGGAGTAAATACAAATACAAAAAATCACATCTATGACCTGTGGATTACCAGGAAAGCAAAGAATGGAGAGTGGAGAGTGGCATGTTGTTGCATTATGGGTCATGATGACTTGTATTTATATGTCTATATGAAGATGGGAGGTTAAGTTTCAGGATCCGAGTGCTGAAAGCACTGAAACTTACACAATAACATAAAGTCAAGACTTCAAAAGTGTGAATTGGGAAAAAAATCACTCGCTCTCATGAAAAAGATGACAATTTTCTGTACAAAAATTTTCTGTCTCTTTTTGAGTTATAAATGAGGGGAAACACTTTTTTATATTCCTCTATCTAAACGAGAGATTTTATAGTTAAAATGTCATAAAAATAATTCACTAATACTACATGTAAAGAATAGTGAATACAAATGCAAATTTTTAGAAGAAATACACATACAATAAAATAGAGACATTTTCTAACAATTCCTGTAAAGATCTACACTCAAATTATTCATCCTTAATTATTCATCTTTAAATATTTTCATGATTTTAAAAAGTAAACAGAACAAAAACTAAAGCAACTTCTAATTATCATAAAATTTTAAAACCTATAAAATTAATCAAAAGTACATAGAAAATGGATTTTACTAAGGATGGAAAGTTAAATAAATTTTAAAAACCAAAAATATACACAGGTGATTCTTTTAAAATTTTGAGGAAAATTAGTAAATTTCTAGGAAAAATGAATGAATGTCAAAGGAGAAATATATAAGATTACAAATGATAAAGAAGATACACATACTGATGCAGTACAAAGTAAAATAACTTTGTAAGTTTACAATTGTAATTCCGCAGTCCAAAAAGAAGTGAAAACACAGAACTGATGAAAATGTTTTAGCATAACAATATTTTAAAAATAATTCAAGAAGTGAAAAATATAAATATATCATCACCATAAAACAGTTGGGAAGGAAAGAAAGATTTAACATAAAAGAGGCAAAAGGACCAGATGGCTGTATAACCATATAATAAAAAATAATCTCATTATTATTTCTATTATCCAAATGGTAAGAAACCTCCTGAATTATTTTTTTTTCTCTGCTTATATCAAAATTTTTTTTTTATTTCAGCATATTATGGGGTACAGATGTTTAAGTTACGTGTGTTGCCCTTGGTTCCCCTCCCCCCAAGTCCGTGTTTCAAATATGTCCATCCTTCGGGTAGTGCGCATTGCACTCCTTGTGTATACAAATACCCGTCCCCTCCTCCCTCCTCCCCCCTCCTCCCGCCGCCCTCCCCCTTCCCCAGCATCCAATAGATGTTGTCTTGATATGTGCTTTTATGTGTTGATTAGTTAATACCAATTTGATGGTGAGTACAAATGGAACCCGTTCTTTTGCTCTTGTGGTGCCCCACTTTGGATAATGGGCTCAAGTTTAATCCAGGAAAATGTAAGTGGTGCTAGATCACTGTCATTTCTTATAATTGAGTAATATTCCATTGTGAACATATACCAAATTTTGATAATCCACTCATGGATTGACGGGCACTTGGGTTGTTTCCACATTCTTGCAATAGTGAATTGTGCTCCATAAACATTCGGGTGCAGATGTCCTTATCGTAGAATGTTTTGTGCTCTTTTGGGTAGATGCCTAATAGTGCTATTGCTGGATCGAATGGTATTTCTATTTTTAGCTCTCTGAGGTATCTCCTGAATTATTTTTATGAAGATATTAAGACAGTATAAAATAAGCTAGTAAACAAATTCAGTAATGAATATAGATAATTTCAAATAAAATCCAACAAAATATCTATATGTATATATCTTATAATATCAAGATTTATTCCTGTAATACAAGGGTAGAGTAGATAATAGAGATATAGAAATATATGGGCGTGTGTGTGTGTATATATATATACGAAATACTGTATAGCCTAATTTTGTAACAAATAAATGAAAGAATAGTAGAGAAAGGTTTGATTAATAAGTCAGGCTATCACTGAAAAAAATCAATAATTGCTCCTAAAAATTTAAAGTAAAATGGAAATATGACAAACTACTAAAATACAATTAGAATTTCTTAATAAATACACTTGGCACAATGATATGAAACAGAAAAACACCTGTACTTATTTTAATTAAAATCAAGAAACAAATAGGATGCTCAATTTCATCATTAATATTTAGCATTTCATTGTCATCTTGGATATGTCATAAGATAAAAAAGTGGCATTAATATCAGAAAAATGTTATGAAACTACTTTAGTTACAAATTATGAAAGGCATTTTTGGTAAGTTTTTATAGCTTTGCAAGGCAGACGGGTCTTACAATGACTGGAATCTTAATATTGTACATAATTTTAATCAGTAACATTTTTTCTTTCTTAGTAAGACATCAAATAATAGCATGCACTATAATAAAGTCAGTGAAATATGATAATTTTTCCACATTACATTATTATGTACCTGGAAAACAATAAAATATAACAGGAAACTATTAAGAATAGACATAATAAGAAAATTTGGTGATTTGAATCAATAAAGTATGCATTTAAAAGTCAATTGATAATATTTATGGTAGCAACAGGCACCTTCAAACCAAGACTATTAATATCACTGTCAAGGCATAAATTACACTATGGCTATAATGTATTACATCAAATAATATCAATTTGCTCACTCTTAATCTATAAATTTAACACAATTCCAGCTGGAATCAGCATTTTACATTTTTATAATTGCACAAATTATCTCTAAGTTAATATGTAAAAATGAAATCTCATGAATGCATAGCACATAAATGGAAGTTATTGTCTAATAAATACAGAGTTTAAATTTGAGATTAAAAAAAGTTCTGGAGATGAATGCTGGTGATAGTTGTACAACACGTGAATTTACTTAATGCCCATAAATTGTACACTTAAAACTGGTTAAAATAATAAATTTTATGTTCTGTATATGTTATCACAATAAAAAAAGAAAATTAAATGTTCCTGAATTATTACTTGCTTTACACACATCAAAACATATAGGCCAATGAAATTAAGTTAATATGGTGTTGGCATAAGAGAAAATAAAATCATCAGTAGACAGGTTTAGATTATGAAAGTATAGAAAAATAAGTAACCTTTATTTTTATATGTTTGGATTTTTTCTTATATAAAAGTAGAGAAATT